TTTAATTTTATTTTAATTTAATTTATTTTTAATTTTTTTCGTCGCGCTGCTGATGACGTCACGTACGCGCTTTAATCGGGCACGCTTTAGTCTACCGCGGTTTTGACGGGTCACGCAATTCATTGTATCATACTACTAAGACATTATTATACAATAATGCTTTCCTGGCTTACATAAAATTTTGATTTAAGGACAGACCTGGGGACATTCTTAAACTGGGAACTATATGTATTTTGAACACACTGATTCTTTGTATTGAGCAATATGATGGAATTGTAGCCCTCCCAAACAGCAGTCCCAGTGACTTTTTTATATCACCAAATGAATGCGATTATTTTATTTTTAAAAATCTCAAAGCATATGCAGGCTATCTCAGATTGAGTAACTTGTACCTTCATTTCAACCACTTTGGAGAAGTTTCTTCTAGTCAGCCTGAGCAATATACTGACTTGAAAATAGTGGGCACCGTTTTGATTCTGGATAAAGTGTCTTCAGAGAATCCATATCAAACTGAAAGATAAAGCACAGTTCTTTTGACAATACTGAGCACTTTTTTTGTTTTGGAACTTGAAATTATCATCTGATCTCTTACAGGAAATGAAAACTGTATAGAGGTACTGTTGGAACACAAAGCTTTTCGCAACTTTCATGGAAACACGTTTTCTCCATTGCACTGTGCGGTGTAAGTAGAAATAGCAGTAAATTTCACTTCCTATATAGCCTAGGCTGTGGGCCAAGTTAAGCTGGAATTTAAAAATAATAAAGCTTTGAGATTTTGTACTATTTTTATAATATTAGTCCCCAATCCACTCATGCACACAGTTACAAGCAATTCAAATGCCTTCTCAGCAAATTTCTGTACTAGGAAATGAACCATTTTCATTATACTTTATGTAGTTTTGATTGCCAGTTTTTCTGTTCTATAAACTTTGATTTCGAATGGTGCTTTGAGGATTTTAATAAAAGCAAAAGTAAAGGTGGCTTTGACCTGAACTGAACATTAATGAGACAGGATCATAATTATCTTCATTTTTTGCCTATAGTACAAAAGTGATTGGCCATTGCTTTAAGGCTAATGTCTATAGCCTATAGTCCAATATTCTCTGTTGATCACCCATCCAAGTATTAAATGGGCATAGATCAGAAACAGGAAAAAGTCTTGCGACACCTTGCACACGAACATATTTGTTATAGAGACTTTTGGAGTTAATTCATGACAACTGAGTAGTGTTTGATCACTGGAAATAAATTGTAGAAAGTTTACTTAGGGACAGTGATATTGTTTGATTAGTGATACTATGTTGAGAACTCCCAATCTCTCTTCAATCAATGCCTGGGGGATGTTATTATCCTTAATAATACTGTTAGTACATCACATACTTTTTCCGTATTTAGCTCCCTTGTCTGTAAGTGTATTATTGTGGCTTTGTCTATTATTGCTGCTAAGTAGCTGTGAAAGTAGCATCCCAGACTGCCAGAGTTACATGAACAGGAAAGCTATAATAAGAAGCAAACACACACACACACACACACAAACATGCACCTTGCTTTAAATGAACATCTTTTAAGGAAGTCATTTCACAC